ATACCAAATTTACTTGAGTTTTACTAAATAAATAAAAACATTAATATTTATAATACTAAATAAATATTTTTAGATTTACCACATACTTGAAGCCTATCTCACGCGTTGCTGCAGGACTTTCTTAAAAATAAAAATATTATATACATAAGTTAAACCCACGTGTTCTCACATCCATTCTTATTAAAATTGGACAAGACAACGAAACAATACAATAAAAAACTATCGAAATTAGGTCAAATTATACGAAGATGGAATGACAAAACAAATAAAAATATGTGGATATCTTCTATATTTCTATATATAATGTTGAAAGTACTAATTGCATTTAGTGGAGATGACGTGAGTAGTTCAAAGTTAGTGTGGTGACATGGTTATTAGTGGGAGATCATGTGGATGGTTAGTGGGAGATGTCGTGGATGACTTGTATGTTGAGATCACATAACTTGCAGTGGAGATTAACTTTATAAGAAAAATAATAGATAAGAGATATATATTTGGTGTCTTAAACATTAAAATTTGTATATATATTTAGTCAAATTTTAGACATGTTAACCAAAAGTACACCTAGAATTGCAAACTTTTGTGCATAGAGGAAGTATAGACGAGTCAGGCTAGCCAAGGCCAGGCTCATGCAACTACTTCTTGTTGTTTACTTAATTAAAAAACCAGGCTGAGTAGATGTATATTTGGTTAGCTACATCAGGATACATCACATTAAATGAAAATGAAAACAAGTACTATAATAATATTTATCTATCCGTATACTAGTTAATTTTATCATGTTAAGTCTTAATCTACTTTGAAATATAATAATGTACCTTAAAATATGCTAATTATTTGTTAATCTACTTACTAATGCGGTGCATCTCGAAAGCCTAGTTCTGGAGAAATGGATTTCATTTTTATTTTCCGAGGGCTAGACTTACGGGTTGCTTTTGTAAAGGGGCATATGATTTGGGTTCCGTGCAGGCATCCAAACATGAAGTTATATATATCCCCAGAGCTTGATCACGGCATACGTGGGTAACCAAATTAGCTAAGGCCTCGTTCGGTCACGGGAGATTCAATCCCAGCCGAACGGTTTCTTCGTAAATTTATATCGCGCCGGAACCGTTCCAGACACAAAACACGGGCCGTTCCGGACGAAGCGAACGGAGCCTAAGCAGTTGTGGTCCTCTTCATCGGGTGACCTGACGCCATGTACTTGTAGCCCACCATTTCATCTGTTGAGGTATATGCCTATTGGTCTTGACTGTTATTACCACTGTAATGAGGTGCGTCAAACAATCCGTCGGATCGCTCCTTGCTGCACCATATCATTCAGTGGATCTGATGTTCAAGGTCTTCAATTGTGTCGGTTCTATAATGTGCACCATATGATCTGTCGAATGCTTCTTGTCTTCACCGTATCATTTGGTGGCCTCTGTCTTCTCTAGCTGACATATTAGACTCCACTGTATGCTCTAGTGGGCTTGACTAACTGATCCGATGAGAAATCTTGAGAGAATCCACAGTCATTTTTTTCCATTTGAACTTGGATCTCGACAACTTTAACCTTACGTCCCTAGGAATTACTATAAGGGCACCCCCAATACAAGAAATTATTAGTAGTTTGTATAGCATAGGATATCGTACCAAGAAACTATACTTCACAGTGCAAGATTTTCTATGGTACATGACATAAGTAGTTATAAAAACTATATTTGCTCTCCCAATGAGCTACAAGTAGTTTTTTTTTTGTCTATCGATAACCGTGAAGACTCAGTTTCTTAGTTAGATCTCGTTTCTTGGATTTTTCCTCTCTTCCTCGCTAAATCACTTGCCATATTAGCACATTGCCTACGTGACAATGCAACTAATATCTATAAAAACTACCATAGCTTCTGCATTATGAGTAACCTAACATATCTAACACATATTTAATGCATCGTTAGCCATAGACTTGTGTTTCCGTTCCGTCACATTCACCGAGACTAAAAGTCATGATGATCATGGACACATGATTCTCACACATGTGCCTAGTATTTTAACTTTTAAGTGTTCATTATTTATATATTCTCTCTCATGTCAATAGAGATAGACAATTTATGCCTCTTAAGTATGGATGAAAACGGTACGGATATTTATTCGACCGTCCGTTCGACCGAACAAATATGAACACTTATCTGGATAGTTACTCGGATATCCGTTTTTTTTCCGGATACGGATACTAAAACGGATATCTTAGGCGGATATCAAATACGGATGTAATATCATCGATATCCGGCGGATATCGGATAATCCGGATAAGTATCGGATATATCCGGATATTTAAAAACGGATATTATCCGGATATTTATTCAAAATTTAAAAATCACAAATTTGAACCATCCAAACTATCTCAAATGGAAAGTTGACCAAAACAACAATTGTAGATCTTGATGAGTTGAACAAACTTGGTATTCAAAACTTTTCAATTTGAAGTCATTTAGAGCTCATAATACTAGAGTCAAAGTATTGTTTTTTCATTTGACCAAATTTGACTTGGTCAAACTTGCTCAAATGAGACACTAAATGACCTCAGATGAAAAAACTCTGAATACCAAGTTTGATCATCTCAGTAAGATCTACAATTGTTACATAGCTCATTTTCCCATTTGAGAAAGTTTGATCAAACACTAGTCATAAATTCTTGAATCTCATATAGACTTTTCTGAAACTATGTCACACACTTATGAAATTTGAACTATATTTTGTTCAAACTTTCTCAAATGAAAAAATGGCCTATATAAGGATTGTATATATTGATGAGATGAACAAATTTGGTATTCAAAACTTTTCAATTTGAGACAATCTAGGGTTCCGAAAACTAGTTTGTAAATGTCGAAATTTAAAAATCACAAATTTGAACCGTCCAAACTATCTCAAATGAAAAGTTGACCAAAACAAAAATTGTAGATCTTGATGAGTTGAACAAACTTGGTATTCAAAACTTTTCAATTTGAAGTCATTTAGAGTTCATAATACTAGAGTCAAAGTGTTGTTTTTCATTTGACCAAATTTGACTTGGTCAAACTTGCTCAAATGAGACACTAAATGACCTCAGATGAAAAACTCTGAATACCAAGTTTGATCATCTCAACAAGATATACAATTGTTACTAGCTCATTTTTCCATTTGAGAAAGTTTTATCAAACACTAGTCGAAAATTCTTGAATCTCATATAGACTTTCTCTAAACTACTATCACACACTTGTGAAATTTGAACTACATTTTGTTCAAACTTTCTCAAATGAAAAAAATAGCCTATATAAGTATTGTAGATCTTGATGAGCTGAACAAACTTGGTATTCAAAACTTTTCAATTTGAGACAATCTAGGGTTCCTTGAAACTAGTTTGTAAGCATCGAAATTTAAAAATCACAAATTTTAACCGTCCAAACTATCTCAAATGGAAAGTTGACCAAAACAAGAATTGTAGATCTTGATGAGTTGAACAAACTTGGTATTCAAAACTTTTCAATTTGAAGTCACTTAGAGTTTATAATACTAGAGTCAAAGTGTTGTTTTTTTTTGACCAAATTTGACTTGGTCAAACTTGCTCAAATGAGACACTAAATGACCTCAGATGAAAAAACTCTGAATACCAAGTTTGATCATCTCATCAGGGAAAAAGAACTTTCTTAGTAATTCAATCAATGTCTTCAGAACAGATTCCGAGCAGCAGCAAGATATACAATTGTTATATAGCTCATTTTCCCATTTGAGAAAGTTTTATCAAACACTAGTCACAAATTCTTAAATCTCATAGACTTTCTAAAACTATGTCACACACTTATGAAATTTGAACTACATTTTGTTCAAACTTTCTCAAAATGAAAAAAATGACCTATATAAGGATTGTAGATCTTGAATCCATGACCATGACTCCATGAGACCCATGAAGCAATGTGCTTGGCTATTTCTACTCATGCCAAAGATTGGTGCTTATATGATGTTTGATGTATGATGTATCATTTTCAGTATCTTTATCTTATTTGTTGCTTTACTCTTTAGTCTTTCGGCTTAATCTAGATGGATTATGGACTCATAGAGTGGTGTAATGGTTTTGGCAATGCATATGATATATATATATATATATGCTTTTTTACTCAATATCCTAATAGATATTTGTATCAGACCTTCTCCGAATCCGATTCATACCGTATTCGATACTCATTATTCGTATCCGTAACCGAGTCAATCCGTATTCGTATATGTATCCGAACGCTATCCGTATCCGAATCTGAATCCGAACAGAAATATGAAAACAAATATAATATGAGTGATATCCGTTCGTATCCGATCCGTTTTCATCCCTACTCTTAAGGCTATCTCCAACAGGAAAGCCATTAGGAGACCTAAATCTAAAATGGGTCTCTAACATAATACATATAGCATCCAACGGAGTACATATATGGAAAGACCCATTTTGGGTGTCAGAAAATGTATGACCTAAATCTTAGTATCCTTTTTCCTGAAGACCCATTTATAGAAATGATTCTCTTTTGAGGTGTTATTGTTGAAGAAGACAAAAAATGGGTATTAAACCTTTTGTCCTTTAACGCTACCTAAATATAAAATGGTTCTTATATTTTAGATAACGGTTGCTGGAGACAGGAGTAAGTCTAAAAGTCTCTCACGTGACATTAGTAAGATTATAACTGATTATTAAAATATTAAAGCGTAAAGGTGTCCTGAGAGCAACTGGAGACCCCAGGGCTCAGGGATCTCTTCCCGCGGTGCGGAGGCCCACAACCGAGTCCTAAATCCAGTCCCTTGGACGAGCAGAAAACGCATCCACGATCGTCCGTCTCCGCCACCCCTCCTCGCCACTCCGTTCGGCCGAGTCCAGTCTCCAGTCCGCAACGGAAGGAGAGGAGGCGTCGACCGCGCAGCGCAAGCGTCGAGGGAAAATCGCACCAACCCGGGGCGAACGTATCGTCGGAGAAGGCCGGGGAGGAGCTCTAGAAGGTGTGGGAATGGAGACGGGGGTTGCCGTGGCGGCGGCGCCTCATGTTGCTTCGGCCACGGGATCGGGGACGGTGGAGGAGCAGGCGGCGGGGGTCGGCATCTTGCTTCAGATATCCATGCTCGTGCTCTCCTTCGTGCTCGGGCACATCCTACGCCGCCGAAAGTTCTACTACATCCCCGAGGCCAGTGGCTCCCTCCTGATCGGTGCGTACGCGTACCCCGTCCGCCACCTTGATCCTCGTAGTTTTGTTTGCTAGAATTTCGAAATGCCGATCAGCACTGGGGATTCTAAAATTCAAGTGGTTGGGGGATGACAAGATAAATGCGACCGGATCAGTTGGGGTTTGGGGATGTTATGAGTTCGGCTATGACAAATGCAAGTTTCGACGTGGAGCGTTCGGCCAAAGCAAATGTTCATCTGGCATAGGAGAGTTCAGTTTTTCTTTTATTTTGAGAGAGAATATGAGAGTGTTTTTAAGGGGACCTTGGGTTCGATGAACATAAAATGCACGCACCATACTGTATGGTTCCATTAGTTTTTATCTACATTGTTAGATCGCAGCCTTCTGATTCTACTATCATGGTGTGTCAATAGCTGTAATTTGTCTGCGCTTTGCAGGAGAAAAATGAGCCTTCACCTTGGCATTTTTCACTGAAGGATGCTTGTTATCCTGATCAACTATCTTGTTGCTGCTAGAAACTGGTTTAGCTTTTATGATAAGTGAGGGTTTAAGATGAATATGACAGATGGATTATAATATTACTAACACTATTTATTTTCTATCTACTAACCTTAAGAATAGAACCTCTAGTAACATGGGTCACTTTTAGAGTCAGATAATATGTTGAGTCCACGTTCACTTTCACACTTCAGTTACTAGAATATTTGGTCAGTTAATGCCACATGGAAACATGTGGTTTTTTTCCTAGCCCTGTCAATGCGCTCGATCTATGGCAGGCCATGTCTATGCATTATTCTCAGCTGAATAGGTCTTGTTTGTTAATTCAATAATGTTGTTCTAATGAAATCGAATGCTTATTTTCTGCATTTTTCTTAAAACAATTGTCTGCTTCATGTGACACGTGTTATGTCACTTGCTATGACTCAGGAGTTAATGTATTTACCTATAAAACCTAACGCAGGCATTCATATAGTTGATAGCCATGCTCATGAGTTGCCAAGTTGATTATATTGACTTACTTTTCTGAATAATATGAATTACTGAGGGCCTTTAGGAGCTTTCGCTTTGTTATTTTATTGATATTTTCTTAAGGCATGTACCAGAATAAGAATAGTCATGTTATCTTGAATCGGTACTGTGAACTACTGAACTGTTATACAAGTTTCTTCTGGTAAACTGAAGCTTTTAGGATTGCACCCCTGATGAGAAATGAGAAATCATTTAATATTTTTTGGTGTCAGGGATGATTGTTGGAGGGCTTGCTAACATATCAAACACTCAGAAAAGCATCAGGTGTATATGCTACATCTCTTACTCCTTTTGGTAGACCAAATAATCCCCACAAAAGCATTGTTGTTAGTTTTTGAACACTGTTTGATGTTTCTTTCCTTTTGTCAATTCAGGAGATGGTTCAATTTTCGGGAGGACTTCTTCCTTCTCTTCTTACTGCCTCCGATTATATTATATCCTTGATTGTATTCTGCTTTTATTTCTTATTGCTTATTGTGGAATATTTTCATGTTTTACTTGACTGCATCTTACCCAGTCAGGATTCAGCTTAGCACCAGTAAGCGTTGGATCTTGAGGCCCTTTAGTTGTTTAGCATATCAGGAACAGTTACTCATTATATTATTATTTATTTTATAGAAACCATTCTTTTCGAACTTTGATGCTATCATAACATTTGCAATCCTGGGAACCTTCATTGCCTCCATTGTTACCGGTCTTTTAGTGTAAGAACCCATTTCTATTGCATTGATTCGTTTTCATATTTATTTATTCCATTGACAAATGGAAGTAATCTAATTTACACCTGTGTCAGCTACCTTGGTGGGTTACTATACATTGTCTACAGGCTCCCACTGGTGGAGTGTATGATGTTTGGTGCTCTTGTATCAGCAACTGATCCTGTGACAGTTTTGTCTATATTTCAGGTTTTTGCCACCACTTATCAAATACTCAAAGAATTTGTGCATGTTTTGCTGCTATGTTGAAACAAATTCTTACATACCTCTCATATCTACTTCTATCTTGAAAGAATGTTTATGGAATTGCAGGAGCTTGGCACTGATACAAATCTATATGCACTGGTTTTTGGAGAATCAGTTTTAAATGACGCTGTATGCAGAAACTTTTCCTTACCTCATACCTGTTATTTAATTTTTTTCTACTGATGCTTATAAAATTCTCGGTACCCTTCTATGGTCTGTCATTTAAGGTGGCTATATCCTTGTACAGGTGAGGATGTGCTTTCTGAGTTGTGTTTTCTATTTCTTATTCAAAGAATCCTATTTTGAATAGCTTTACCTCTCAGGACTATGGCATCTATCAGGACGCACCATTCTGGAAAGAACTTTTTCCTTGTAATTCTGAGGTTTCTTGAAAATTTTGTTGGATCAATGTCATCAGGTATTTTGTAGTTCTTTATGTATATCAGAACAGATTCCGAGCAGCCTATAATCTTAGTTGTCTTAATCAGATTATTCCCTCTCATTTTTATGATTGCTTGTAAACATTTATATGTTGTTTCACATTTGATATTCTAATGACCTTTTCTCATGTAGGCATCGGTGTTGGACTAATCTCCGCTCTCATATCCTTTAATCTAACTTTAGTTCATAAAAATGAACATGATTAATCTTGAAAGCTATGAGGGAGGTTTGGCTTCTTTCATAGTAAGTCTTGTTCACTCATGGGGATTTTTTTAGTGCATACAAACTGAAGCTCACTCAAAAAGGGCTGACAGCTATGTGGACTGCAAAAGTCTGCACTAGATCTTAAAAGTTTCCCCCCAAATTCTGCAACTTCCATTTTCAAGACACCCTTTTGCACCAGCACCACATAGATGTGTTTTTTTTTTGAGGGCGGGCCTGGTGCAAGCGGTAGAGTCTTACCACCTGTGACCAGAAGGTCCCGGGTTCGAGTCGCGGTCTCCTCGCATTGCACAGGCGAGGGCAAGGCTTGCCACTGACACCCTTCTCCAGACCCTGCACAGAGCGGGAGCTCTCTACACTGGATACGCCCACCACATAGATGTGTTTTTGTACTTTTGTCAAGTCATGTCTCAACTTTGCCAGTCCTTAATTCGGTCAAACCTCTTCAAGTATGCAGCACTGGGCGTTGAGAAGTAAGTAAAAGTTGGCATTTGTAGTTTGTCTGAAACTGGATCCCATCACATAGACAACTAAACTTTGTATCATTTTCAGCCTTCACAACCTGGAGAGTTGCTTGTTTGTGCTTTTTCCATACTTCTCGTAAGCCTTATTTGAACTTCATTTATTTTATGTTTCGTTTAAAGGTTTCTGTTAGTTACCATCATATGTACTAGGTACATGCTAGCAGAAGGCATTGGTCTATCTGGCATTGTTTCTATTCTCTTCACTGGTATTGTAAGTTCAACTCCAATAATTTACCATGGATCTTGTTCTAGGCTTTTATTACTGGACTAGGAAAATGCTTCCATTTATCTTATGAGTTGTAGCTGCAAAATTCAGTTTCGTGAACCTAAATTGCTTACTAAAAGAATTTTACTTCCAGGTGATGAAGAGATACACATTCTCTAACTTATCAGACGATTCTCAGCGTTTTACAGCTCGCTTTTTTCATCTTCTTTCTTCACTAGCAGAAGCTTTCGTGTAAGTCAGACTGTACTTCAGCTTGCATATGCAAACAACTCTAGATGATGAGTTGGCTGTGCTTCTATTCAGGTTCATATACATGGGAGTTGATATTGCAATGGAACGTCAAAGCTGGTCACATATTGGATTCATATTTTTCTCAATTGTATCCTTCTGTTGGATTGAACCACCAAACCTCTACTATGCACTGTACATAATGAAATATGTTTCTATTTTTCTGTTGCTTCCTTAATCTGTTGTTTATCAATGACGTGTAGATCTTCATACTACTTGCAAGGTATCATTTGGCTGATCGAAAAAACCCCTTATTTTCTTTGATTTGGGATGTTTATCAACTTGATTGACTGCTTTTGGAAAATGCTTTTCAGTTTCCACTTTCTTTTTGTTAATAGGCTGCTTATCTACATTTTCAGTTTCTCATCTCGTTTTTATTTTGAAGGGCTGCAAATGTCTTCTCTTGTGCATACATACTGAATTTGGCACGACCTCCACAATGCCAAATACCTAGGCAATATCAGCAGGCTCTTTGGTATAGTGGTATGTGTGCAATAAAACATGTTCACTTTCGATAATTCTGCCATAAACTATGACGTCATATATTTTCATGCTTTTAAGTACTGATGCTGCTTATTCAGGGCTTAGAGGAGCTATGGCTTTTGCCCTCGCTCTTCAGTCTGTTCATGATCTTCCGGATGGACATGGCGAGACAATTTTTACTGCTACCACATCTATTGTTGTTCTAACTGTAAGTCGCTGGGTGTAATTCGTTCCACATTATATAAAAATGAACTTTTTTTGAAAGTAAATAAAAATGAACATAGAATATCTGTATGGAAATGATTTGGATGGTATGCCTCTGAATTTTGTGATCCTACATAACAAGGCCTTGCTTCAAATGCAGAATTTACTTGATTTGAATTGAATTTATCCTTTGGAATTCTTTCAAAATTCTGGCATAAATAACCCTTGCATGGCAATGTTCAAGGTACTCCTTATTGGTGGCTCAACTGGAACAATGCTTGAGGCTCTACAGGTAGTTGGGGACAGCAACCGTTATCGCCAACTGTATGAGGTAACTTCTTTTGCAGTGTGTAACAACAATAAAACACTTTGGTCTTTTCGAGTCATCCAGTGCATTGTAACCTTAATGCCAATTGGTACTAAAAAAGATATATACAGACATTGCATTCCTTGCATCATGACCCCCCTCCTAGTGGTTCTCTACAGAAATGCACTCTATTTGTCATCTGCATAGAAAATTACAAACACGTCAGGGGTTGTGATCACCATGTTGTGGTTTTAATTTGGTGCTTACAAACGGACCATTAATGTTGTCCAATGCCATTAATTCAAGTATTTTATTTGTGTTCAACTTGATATACCATGAGTGTTACTGGTTCTTTCTGTATTATAAATGGCTTGCTTGGTAGCTGCAGGAGAATTCTAATGGCAACGACACTGGTTACATGGGACAAAATTATGATGAAGGAGCATCCACTTCAAGCAAATTCAGATCTAAACTTAGAGATCTAAGGAGAAGGTGAACTAACTAGCCCCTGTTATTGAAATGCTGCTGGTCTCGTTTGATTTTTTTTTTACAACCTCTAGTTTTTTTTTATTTATTGTGTTAACTTATTACAGTAGAGCAAGTGCTGCTTCTCACTCCGGTGATTTAATTCTCTTATTATGCAGCACCTCGTCTTTCGCTTTACTGGACAAAAATTACCTTACTCCTATTTTCACTTTGCGAAATGGAGACTGCGATGATGATACTACAGAAAGTCAAAGTCCCAGTAAGAGAACTCGTCCATGTAGCTTAGATACTCTTTCCTTAAAGATTTTCCTCACTTTATTCCCGTTCCTTGTTATACAGCATCTACAAAGTGAACCTTTATTAACTTGACTGTTCCTTGGGACTAACTATAGCTCTTGGATGCAAATGCAGATGAACAATTGACGGTATCCAGAGGGCCTGGGGATTTGGAGGTACATGATTGATGACCGCAGATATGAAGTGCCTATATCTTCCAGGAATCTACACGATACTCCTTGTACCTTTCTCGGCGACCCAAAGTGGAAAGTGCAACTAGACATTCGAACATAGCATTGCCATTATTATTAAGCTATAAACATTAGTTAGTTAGGATAGTTCGACGTAAGTAGCCTTTGTACGTAGAGTTATATATAGGTGGAATTTATCAACCTTGAAATTCTGCTCTGGTCCGTTCCATCAGAAACTTTGTGTGTATTGTGCACCTGCAACAGTAGTAGGTTCCTCGAAATTGAATTCGTCTAGATTTCAGAATCGTGCCGAACCTTGTGCTATGTGCTGCGTACTTGCGCCAGTTTCATGATGGGAATTATTGTTCCCAAATCTTCCGCTAGTGAACTTATTTTTTTTCCTATATTCGTGAATTTGTTTGAAATTCTGAATATCAAATATAGGCCCTAGAAATCAGTTTCTTACTGGGACCGGGAAATACGTCCCTCAACATTTCCAACCAAATGTCCAATACGCATTACTTTAGCAAAGTTAGGCCTTCTTGGGGCTTCCAATTCTTGTTGATCAAAATCATGGTAAGCCAAAACTTAGGCTTGCCAAAGTTATTATAGGACAAAAAAACATGGATGTGCAATTGGTTGAGTGTCCTACCATACCAATAGTAGAAAGCACCTTTTCTCTTTATGCAATTTATAAGAAATTCCTAGAAACTTGCCAAAGCTTTAGGTATAAACTATGTGTACCAATTCTTTGGCAATGAACCAATTGATGACTTTGGCCCTGTTCATTTCATTGGAATTTAGCTTATGCTGATGCTCGTTGTGGGGGTCACCGCTATATTGCCACCACGAGGCCCCCAGGAGCGCACGTAGCAACTCCTCTTTAGGATCTTTATGTTGAGTTACATATGGATACTCGATACAAGGCATACCGAATAACTCAATTACATACACGCTCCAAGTCTCCAACACATAATTTAAATATCATTGGTGATAAAATAAGTTTAAGGCGAGAACTACTAGTGACACTAACATTATACCTATTTTCTACATTCAGTCTAGGGAACATCTCATTTCACTCTACTACTCATCGGGTTACACGCAGCTCATCTTGGAAGACTTCCAAGGTCTACTAACCGTGGCTTTCATCAGAGCTAATCTCGGAGGAAAAAACTTATCAACCTGCAAAACAACTTAACGGTAGCGCTGTGAGTACATTTCGTACTCGTAGGACTTAATTCCAACATATAGATATTTGGTGGATGCAAAGAGTATTAATAGGCATTTGTTCATTTGTGAAAAGCGCATGGCGTTTCTTAAATGACATGCTCATGATCCATTTTAGAGTATTACCATTAAAGAAATATAGTATTTAAAAGAGTGATTAACACATATAAGTTGCAACATTAGCAAATTCCATCATTACTCTACCATGGATATAGAAAGTAGAACAATCAAATGGTTCCGTCTCGAGGGACTTCAGGCTTTCAAACTCTATAGAGGTGTACAACTATACCCACACGGAAATATGGGACCAACCACCATACTCTAGATCCTAGAATAAGGGTTGCCTCACGATTTCCAACCTTTCCCTAAACCAGCCCGAGTATCCTATGAAAGGTTCGACTGGTGCCCGATCAATGTCTCGGACTCAGACATTCCCGACCGGTGCCACCCCCTTGCCAGTTTCACGGATAAAACTGGTCGCAATTAGTTACTCGGCTTATCGACCTCATCCGCGACATGTGGTATGTACGAGTGGTTACTCGGACTCACGTATCCCAATAAACGGTCCTTAACTGCTCCACGAGCTACGTCGTTTGAGATCCCACACTCACAACGACCTACCCCTCGCATGAGCAAAGTTACCAAGGTGTTATCCGAGTTCAGAGCTTTTAGTGATATTATTCCTTAGCTAAATTAGTGAAGTAAGTCAAGTTGTACTCTCATTAGTTTTAGTGATTAAGTAACCAAGTGTAAAATCCTACACGCGCGAGAATGAGTTCCCTTGTCATGCTCGACTTCTACCGATGTTAAGTAACTAAGCAATAAGCAATTAAGCGTTTCCATTTCCATTGTTTAGATGAAGGCTTCTACTAGATTAATAAGTGACTCTAAGTGTAGAGTGAACAAGTTTTCTGTCCAAAACTACATGGAATGCCTAACTCGTAATGAAACTGCATAAGTATCCAAAATAGGGTTTATAGTAGTGGGGTGCCTGCCTGCTTTGTTGCTGTCCTAACTCTCGTAGCTGACAATGACGACTTGTACAAATACACGATCCTTATTCGAGACGTTCCTGAAAGAATAAGAGAGAAACACCTGAAAAATCCTAGTTTGGTTTTGGATAATTGATGAAATCTAGGACTAACCTTTGATCTAAGCAAGTGAATTATGTAAGGTGGTCCATTCCAAGTCATTGAGCAAGATGAGGTCCATGGAGTTGAAGGTGGACATGAAATGATGATGATCAAGCTTAGCTTGGTAAAGAAGAAAGAAAAAAACAAAAACCGAGGTGACCAAGGCAAAGGTATAAGATATGTTTTTGTTTTGCACTCAAGACACCATAGAGGGTGTGGGTGACTTAGGATCGATAGCCGTACTATAAAGAGGAAAAATCTTTAGCTAAACGATTTATCGAGTGCCACTAGGTGACATAACTTTTGCATATGCATTTAGGAACCTAGTGTGCTAACTTTGACCTTTGTAAAATGCTTTGAAAAATGCTAACACACGTGCACACAAGTTCTACACTTTGTGGTTAGTAAGTTGAAAGTAAGGGAGAAGTGGTTGTGGACTTAGAAAAAGAAAATGAGCTGAAAGTTCATGACCGGACGCTGGTCGTGGGGTGACCGGACTCACCTCGGCTGCGTCCGGTCAATTTTAGGCGAGGCAGCGTGGCTAGCCAAGAGCGGAAGAGAGTGATCGAACGCTGGGGTTCACGCACATGTGTGTCCGGTCATCTTTTGCAGAGGTGGCGCGAGTGGCGATCGGACGCACTGGCCTCACGGCGCCGCGAGAAGAAGAAGAGAGGATCGGACGCTGGGGCGTGTCAGGTCGGCGTTGACCTGACATGTTCGGTCAGTTATTTCCTACTCTAGATCATCTCTGGATTTGACCGGACTTGAAGAATGCGGCGTCAAGTCGGTGTCTTCGTTGCTTCCGGTCCTAAGTTAAGTGTTCGTGCGATTGGGAGCTAGCCGTTAGAGATGAACGGGTACATTCAAAGCACTGACACGTGGCACAGGATCCGCGACCGGACGCTGGCGCTGGCGCGTCCGATCAACCCGACCGGCGCATCCGGCCAGTACACAGAGCGGCCTCACTTGGCTCTAACAACTCTATTCGTTTGGGACGTCTATAAATAGTGTTTGGCCAGCTCTAAGGCATCTCACTTGGCACTTTGACATTCCTAACATCCTTGTGAGCCCAAGTAAACACCTTCCACTCATCTCCATCATTGATTCATCATCATAGTGAGATTGAAAGTGATTCCAAGTGCATTTTGCTTAAGTGATTGCATTTAGTGTCACTTGGGGATTGTTGTGGCTACGGATTTCTTGTTTCTCTTAGTGGTTGCCGCCACCTAGATGGCTTGGAGCAGCGGAGGAGCTTCGGCATGAGTTGGTGATTGTTTGTGGCTGGCTCCGATGATTACGAGGGGTCTTGCACCTTCCTCGACGGAGAGTCGCAAGGTAGCTCTAGTAAATTGTTCGTGTCATTGAGTTACCTCACTTGAGGGTAGGTTCTTGCTGTGTCCAAGTGTGTGGACAAGGTTCATGTAACACCTCTTAGCCGCCGATCCATCAAGTGTTGGTCGACACAATGGGGACTAGCGTGCCGGCAAGCGCATGAACTTTGGGAGAAAAATTGGTTGTATCTTGCCCTTTGGTATTCTCCCGGTGATTGAATCGGTATTCATCTTGTGATTGGTTCACTCCTCTAAGCGGCGGTATAATCACCCTACTCACCCGATTACATTCCCCGCAAACTAGTTGTAGCAAGCTCTTTAGTGTAGCTAGAATTGAGAGCTTGCTTTGTAGCTTAAGATCATCTAGTGGAGCTCTTTAGTGTAGCAAGTGTGAGAGCTCTTAGTGAGTAGTGACTTAGCCATTTGTGTGTCTAGCGATTATAGTAACTAGAATTGTTAGATAGGTGGCTTGCAACCCTTGTAGAGCTAGAGCAAGTTTGCATTTTGCTATTTGTCATACTAATCAAATTGCTCTAGTGATCTTGTAGATTTTTAAATAGGCTATTTACCCCCCTCTAGCCATATTAGGACCTTTCAGCACCCGAGGAGATACATCGACGATCAAGATAACAAGAAGGATATGGGTGTATAAGTCAACACTGGGAACCTGGGAAGAGACATCTAACTGTGGCTCCACTGCACACTATGTGGTAAAAGATATAAACTAGTATGGGTAGTCTATTGGGTAGACTTTGCTAGATAACCTCACACTCTCCGTGCATTGTCGGACACTCCGCCCTGCTGATGGACACTCCGTTGTGTTGGGTACCGAGGTGAGTTGCCTCTGGGTTGGTTCTGCTCAGGTTGGCGGATACTCCGTGGAGATCATGGATACTCCGATAGGTTCGAGACTTAGTGATTCCTAGGGTTCGCTGATAACATCGGATGATCCGGTCTATTGACGGACACTCTGGTAGAAACTAGGTTTCTCGGGTTACTGGGTTACTGCCTTCTATAATTCATCGGGTGCTCCACCGTGAGGGACGGAACGCTCCGGTGTGAACTGGTTACTCTTGGGTTGTTGGCTATTAGACTCTATAATTCGACAGACACTTCGCGGGATTACCACGGACACTTCGGTGGTCTAGGCTGACTATGAATAAGGCTTCCTAGTAGTTTTTTGAGGGTTTGGCGCACACTCCATCGAATTGACGGACACTCCGTAAATCGGGCGACAAAACCTATGCTCTTGGGAAATCCTAGGTTCAAGCTTATATTTTGTGGAGTTGTACTTCTTGCATGTGCCAAACCTTCCTAAGGCAGCTTAGGTGGCTTACTAGACTCAAGATAGCTAGGTTTTTAGCTAGTTTCACTACGTGTGGCTAGGGCTTTAGGATCCAAACCGAATACTCATGAGAGAGGAGGTAAACCTTGAGATTGAGATGAAGATCCTTAGCTCTAAAATTGAGAACTCCCATGGCCAGAGGGTTGAAGTTCCAAACTTCCTTCATTACCACTTCTCCATCCAAGAGATTGGTTACTTATAGGCTTCTCCTTGCAAGGCACTAAAAGATGAATCAAGGATCAATCCAAGGGATGCTTGAGTGCTTGAGCTAGTTGAAGATTTCTTGAACTTACTTACGTATGATGGAATCACCATCAACAAGGAATTCCTTCATTTCTTGTTAAAAAACCATGGATCACTCTTGGGAGGGGGGAATCAAGAAATAGGACTCTTCTATTGAACTCACCAAGAACAAGATTGGAAATATTGATGGTGTCCATGAAGTGGTGTTGGTGCTTCCTTCCTTCCTTCCTCTTCTCTTCTCCCTTCCAATCCTTTCTCTCTCTAGTTCTAGGGTTCATCCTTGTTCTTGGGGTGTAGAGAAAGAGGGGGAGTAGCAAATGAGTGAGTGAGTGAGTGAGTGAGAGGGTGGGCTTCAGCTGACAAAGATCCCAATTCGTGCTGACATGTGGGTCTAGGGCCATAAATGGAAAAAACACTTATTTCCACTTAACTCTGTGTTGTCTTAGTTTCTATCGGAGGATCCGATATCCTAGTGGATCGTCCGGTAGTCTCTGTCTCATGCTGAATTGATTAAGTCATTGAATCATGGATGCCAGTGGCTAATGTATCTTTCCCACATGTGTTCTTGAGATGTAATTGGTGTCGATGATGTCAATAAGACAAACACCAGTCCAAGTAGAGGTTCTCTTTCTCTATGCTGGGCGTGTTAACGGATTCTTGGTGTTTTCTCTTGAGTAACACGACATGAATTTCCCTAGGAGGTCCAGTAGTTGATTCCTCTATACATCCAAAAATGACCGCCTAGGTTGTAACGGGTTCCAGGTCGTTACACTTATGTTGATTTGTTGTGAGTGAAAACAGTGTCCATTCACTGAAAAGTAGTGTTGCAGAGCATGGCGTATAAGTTTTGGGCTTGCCATGATTTTGGTTGGATAAAATTGGAAGCCAACTAAGCAGTCCTTTAAAAGAAAGAGACTTGCAATAATGAAAATCCACCATACTTGGTGGGCCAGAAAGAACGCAAGGCCGATGACCACATGCGCGTAGCACATGCCCGCGAGGCCCAAATGGCACCACCAGCAGCGAACGAGTCAATGCACCAGTCTCGCCGGCTTCTAGACCCATGTGGAACATTCCAGAACTGCGGCACCACATAAATACTCCGCTACCCCGGACCTTGCTGACCCTCCCTCTCGATCCGAAAACCCCTCCAACCCTAGCCGCCTCCTGCAAGCTTCAGTCCGAGCTCAGGAATCAGGGCGCCATGGCGACGGAGACGGAGACCTTCGCCTTTCAGGCTGAGATCAACCAGCTGCTCTCCCTCATCATCAACACCTTCTACTCCAACAAGGAGATTTTCCTCCGCGAGCTCATCTCCAACTCATCCGATGTAAGTCAGCCCCGTTCCATGTCGAAGTCTGGATGCATCTCAGTGCGTTAGTCGTTAGTAATAGGTTTGATGCGTTACTGTTTGGGCGGTGACTTGTGCTATGGTGTGATTACACACTGCGAGATGTGCAATCTTTTCGGCAGCCAATCCGAATCTGTGCATCTCAGCGTTTTGTAAGCGGTTAATACTGTTTCTGACGTTTGATTTTGCGCTCTGACTTTAGTGCTGTTTTTTTTGTGCGACTTTTGCAGGCATTGGACAAGATCAGGTTCGAGAGCCTCACTGACAAGAGCAAGCTCGATGCGCAGCCTGAGCTGTTCATCCACATTGTCCCAGACAAGGCCTCGAACACCCTCTCCATCATCGACAGCGGCATCGGCATGACCAAGTCCGACCTCGTCAACAACCTCGGTACCATCGCCAGGTCTGGGACCAAGGAGTTCATGGAAGCCCTTGCTGCCGGCGCTGATGTGTCCATGATTGGCCAGTTCGGTGTCGGTTTCTACTCTGCCTACCTCGTCGCCGAGAGAGTCGTCGTGACCACCAAGCATAACGATGACGAGCAGTACGTGTGGGAATCCCAGGCGGGCGGGTCGTTCACGGTTACCCGTGACACGTCCGGGGAGCAGCTTGGCAGGGGTACTAAGATCACACTGTTCCTAAAGGACGATCAGGTATGCTGGTAGCTGGATCAATCAAAGCTCGTTATTGTGCTATCTGTTGCAATGCATGATGTAATCGTCTTCTAGTTGCATTATCCAAGTATGCCTGCGTTTTGTCTAGCTGTCCTTCAACTATCCTGTACAACTGATACTGATAGTACTACAGGGCTTCTGGTTACTAGGAATTGTTCTTTTTGATACTAGACCAGATAAATTACTGTTATGCCTGATGTTGTCTATTAGTCCTAAGGAATTGTTCTTTTTGATACTAGACCTGATAGATTACTGTTATGCCTGATGTTGTCTATTAGTCCTAAGATGGTAAAGTTTATGAGAAGTCCTAAGATGGTAAAGTTTATGAGAAATATAGGCTTGTGCTGTTTTGGATCATTAAGTTGACCCAAAATTTGCTAAAATGAAAAATGCCATCTCCACCTCACTAATTTATGGGAGAGGGGGATGAACTTAAATGGGATGCCACTATCATTAGTTAGCTGATCCGAAGTAAGCCATGGGTAGAACACTTGCATTCCTATGTATAATATTTGGGGTATCGTTTCTTATAGCTTACTTGATATTCCATCATATACACATCAGGGAAACAGTTCAACACGCTCTTCTGCAAATTGTGATCTTAATTATAAGCCAACTTTCTTATCAGCGAGATGTTTCCCTGAAAATTAGCACTTGCATACCGAATGCAGCATCCAAGTTTGTTTAATATTTGTTTAAAAACTGTGATACATAGTCTAGTTGGTTGCAAAGTAATGTGTTTATCGTTTTGAAGTGAACATGTAATTGTGAAGTGCTGTTGTTCGGGGTATGTTAATTTTTATATGCTTGCTTTTCTGTATCCATTATATATGCCAAATATTCTTTGTAATGTCCTTTAAAGAAAATAAATTGGTTAATTATTTATAGAGCCGTTAAACTGTACAAACTACATGATCTTGTCATTAATTGGGTCATTGATTATTCAGAAATGTGTTTATTATTCTCTGCAATGAATTGCTTTTCTGTGAAAGCTGCTGGTGTTACTTGTACTCAACTTTGAACTTCCCACTTGCAGCTGGAATACCTTGAGGAGCGTCGCCTCAAGGATCTGGTCAAGAAGCACTCTGAGTTCATCAGTTACCCCATCTCCCTGTGGACTGAGAAAACAACTGAGAAGGAAATTTCTGATGATGAAGATGAGGAAGAGAAGAAAGACACTGAGGAGGGCAAGGTTGAGGATGTTGACGAGGAGAAGGAAGAGAAGGAAAAAAAGAAAAAGAAGATCAAGGAGGTTTCTCATGAGTGGTCGTTGGTCAACAAGCAGAAGCCCATCTGGATGAGGAAGCCAGAAGAGATCACGAAGGAAGAATATGCAGCCTTCTACAAGAGCTTGACAAATGACTGGGAGGAGCATCTGGCTGTGAAGCACTTCTCTGTGGAGGGTCAGCTGGAGTTCAAGGCTGTTCTCTTTGTTCCTAAGAGGGCCCCCTTTGATCTCTTTGACACCAAAAAGAAGCAAAACAACATCAAGCTCTATGTGCGTCGGGTGTTCATCATGGACAACTGTGAGGAGCTGATCCCTGAGTGGCTGAGCTTTGTTAAGGGTATTGTTGACTCTGAGGACCTTCCCCTCAATATCTCTCGTGAGACTCTTCAGCAGAACAAGATCCTGAAGGTGATCCGGAAGAACCTCGTGAAGAAGTGTGTTGAGCTCTTCTTTGAGATTGCGGAGAACAAGGAGGACTACAACAAGTTTTATGAGGCTTTCTCCAAGAACCTCAAGCTTGGCATCCATGAGGACTCGCAGAACAGGAGCAAGATTGCTGAGCTTCTGAGATACCACTCCACCAAGAGCGGTGATGAGCTGACCAGCCTCAAGGACTATGTGACCAGGATGAAGGAGGGACAGAACGACATCTACTATATCACTGGCGAGAGCAAGAAGGCAGTGGAGAACTCCCCCTTCCTGGAGAAGCTGAAGAAGAGGGGCTATGAGGTCCTGTACATGGTTGACGCTATTGACGAGTATGCTGTTGGTCAGCTCAAGGAGTTTGAGGGAAAGAAGCTTGTCTCTGTCACAAAGGAGGGTCTGAAGCTTGATGAGACCGAGGACGAGAAGAAGAGGAAGGAGGAGCTGAAGGAGAAGTTTGAGGGCCTGTGCAAGGTCATCAAGGAGGTTCTGGGTGACAAGGTTGAGAAGGTGGTGGTGTCTGACCGCGTTGTGGACTCACCGTGCTGCCTTGTCACCGGTGAGTATGGCTGGACTGCCAACATGGAGAGGATCATGAAGGCACAGGCCCTGAGGGACTCGAGCATGGCTGGCTACATGTCGAGCAAAAAGACTATGGAGATTAACCCGGAGAACCCAATCATGGATGAGCTCCGCAAGCGTGCCGAGGCTGACAAGAATGACAAGTCAGTCAAGGATCTCGTGATGCTGCTGTTTGAGACTGCTCTCCTGACCTCTGGCTTCAGCCTGGATGACCCCAACACCTTCGGCACCCGGATCCACCGCATGCTCAAGCTCGGTCTAAGCATCGATGAGGACGAGTCTGCTGAGGCTGAAGCTGAGATGCCTCCGCTGGAGGACGACGCCGGTGAAAGCAAGATGGAGGAGGTCGACTAAGCCTCGGATGCTTGTCGTTTATCCCTAGTTACCTGTGATAATCTTGAGCCTGACCTGTGATAATCTTTCGAGGATTTTGGCACGTTATCTGTTGTCCTGCTGGCCAGGCGATGAGTCTGGTATAGCTGTTATGGTACTCTGGTTTAACATTTTGTCGTTATATCCGTAATGCATAGTACATGTTGTACGTGCCGTTCTATCTTTGCGTTTTTTTATTACTATATACTAGTGGCTCGAGTAGCCTTTGTGTTCTTTAGTAAAAAATGCTCGATTTATTTCGACTGGACTCGTTGTTTTAGTATACTAATAAAAAATGCTCATCAAAATGTGTTCAGAGAATAGGGCCCGTCATGTTCAAAGCAGAGTTACTATATCCTGATACTGTTTGTGAACGCAATCAAGCATTGGTTTCACCAAGTAGGACATACAAAATCATCATATATACAAAATCATCATATGAGTTTAGCATATGATAAAAACATAATCTGTTCTAATCACGTGGATTCACCAATTCAACAGTAGATGTATCACAACGGACATTCCTGGTTGGTGCCTTATTGGACAAATGCAAGATGAAACAACGAGCTCATTTTGAAGTGATTGAGGGATTATCAAAGTGCTAGAAAATTTCAAATTTCAGGACTCAGCGGAAATGATTCACAGCGCACGGCACGAGATGTATCTCATCCGTAGCAAGTCAGGGAGTCCAAGTTACTTGTCAACTTATCAGGTGCTTCTCAAACGTTTCACATCCATAGTCCATACATATTACAAGGATGCAAAGGCAAAGTTTCAAAAACTAAATTATAAGCAAAAAGTAAAGATGTTTCATTTATTATAAGTGACAATGAAGTTAAGATGTTTATCGTCGCAAGTTTTTCTAGGCCATCTTCGGCATGGTTAACTGCAACTCGAATAGTGTTTGTGATTACTGAATATGGAGAACAAAGAAGAATACTGATTATCTTCAAATTTTTCTAGGCCATCTTCGGCATGGTTAACAAGTTTTTCTAGGCTACCTTCGGTAATTATCAGGAATTAAGAGAACAAAGAAGAATATGATACTGTTTGAGATTACTACTGCAATCAAAGCATCCATGATGGCATACCAAATTTCACTATGGCTGTCTATATGCTAAAAATAAAATTTGTGCTCCTGCCCACGTGGACTAGTAATACAATTCAACAGTACATGGCTACATGCATTTCAAGACCTATTCCATGTTGGCATGCATTGTATTCCAAGAGGGTTATCTTCAAGTCACGCAAGGAGTTCAGCATGCTACAACAAATTTTAACAGTGACAGAAAACTGCGTATACAACGGAATTATGCCAATGAGACATGCCCAGAAAACATAACTCAAATATATCAAGTCCAAATTGCTTGCTGAGTTTTCGGGTGACTAACACACATGGCCCCGTTCGGCTGGAGGAATTTGGATGAAAAACATTGTTCTGGATGAAATGTTGTGAAAGAAAAACATTGTTCCGGATGAAAAAAGAAGCGGATCAAGCCGGGTTTAAGGGCAGACGAATGGGACCATATCGCTCCCACACTGGTGACAATAATGCAAAGTCAAACCTTCACAAAATAAGTTTAAGGCAATAGCCTTGGAGGAAGAGACGAATAATGTCAAAGAGTCAGGTATACTAAGACATTTTATTTCTTAAAATCTAGGAGGCTTCCACTTGTAAAAATAAGAAGAGCAGGTCTGATGCAAGCGGTAGAGTCTTACCGCCTGTGACTGGAAGGTCTCAGATTCGAGTCACGGTTTCCTCGTATTGCACAGGCGAGGGTAAGGCTTGCCACTGACACCCTTTCCCAGACCCCGACCCTGCACAGAGCGAAAGCTCTTTGCACTGGATCCATCTTTTTTTTTACGGGGCTTCCACTTGTAAAGCATTTCACAGTTCTACAATACGTAAATATACGATCATGTGACGGCAAGAGACAGAAGTACTTAATCCATCCTAAATTGTAAGACGTTTGACTTTTTTGACACCAAATTTGACCACTCGTCTTATTCAAAAATTTATGTAAAATATCACTTCTTTCGTCGTGGTTTGGTTTATTAATAAAAATTCTTCAAGAATGACTTAAATTTGACTATATTTACACAAATTTTTTGAATAAGACGAGTGGTCAAACTTGGGGCCAAAAAAGTCAAACGTCTTACAATTTGAGATGGAGGGAGCAGTACATAAGAACGATGCAAGGACATTGCAAACCTATACTTTGGACGTTCTGTTTCTAGGTATCATCCTTTATGCAGTGCAAAGAAACAGCGGACGTCACCTGGACTTCGCTCCCTACGTCACTTGGAGTTCCAACACATCGCAATGTGCTAAACACAGGTAACGACAAAACTTTCATAGTTGTGTACTACCATCCACATTTTTCTTGTCAAAGATCCAAATAGCTCCACATACTCCGTTGCTGCCTTAGGTGGCATAAAGGAAGCAAACAATGAAGCCCATAACAACACCAGAACTATCTTTGAATTTTCATTTGACGAAGCCAATCCAAACCAAGTGACCCCCGTCTCTTTCATAATTCTTTGCTCTAATCATCATGGTTTGTCCTGGTTTGACATGAACAAGGTTTGTCATAATCAAGTCTTCGATAATTAAGTTACTTCTTTTCCAATGCTTAAGGTACTAAGCAAATGCACATGCCCTATCTATAAATGTACTTACGAGAGCACTGCCACGAATGCTCAAGGCATACAGATTCATCTAGCATTCACGATAGAAGGAAAAGATGGGCTCACAGAGCTGTGGTTCTTGCTATGTGAAATCCATTCTGGACAGGATGAAGCCCAGATGCCTGGAAGGAAGGCCGCGTCGCTGTGAGACCAGCACAGCCAGGAGCAGGGCAGAAGCAAGGCAAGACACTCTTGAAGACATCATGTATTCTCCACAGAGCATCGAAGGCGATGCACTTGGGGCACCATCTCCTCGGAGGCATTCTCCAAAGGTCTGCCGACTTAACATGGACTGCTCTTATGAGAACAACTCTCCAAATGTCAGGGAGAGCTTCTCCATTGATCGAATGTCCATGAGGAGCCAAAACAGTGTTGTCAGAAGGGTTAGCTTCAGATTGCCTGACGAATCTGATGTCTTCATCATCCCAGCGCGCAAAGATCTTGATGAGTACTCCACTGACGATGAATCCACAGAGGATGTAAGTGAAGAAATTGATCCAAAGAAACCTCATTATGTAATAACTAGATACTATTAATGTTGCTCCACTGTGCAACATCAAGATGACTAGAAGAAATGTGTAACACAGAGAGAAAAAAACTAGTCACTGCATAGATGGTTGCTTTATCAGGGGATATACCATATGCCACTTTAGGACTTGTCAATCATATTCCAATCCATGCAGGACTGCATGAGCATGAGTATATGCACTTTTATGTATTCCGCTGTCCAGTTCCCCGAAGTATTGTACTCCCTCCATCCCAAATTATAAGTCATTCCAAAAATCTTGGAGTCAAATCATCTCAAGTTTGACCAAATTTATATAATAAGATAATAACATTTATGATACCAAGTAAGTATCATTAGGTTCTTCACTAATTATATTTTCATACTATACCTATTTGATGTCATAAATCTCTGTAACTCTTTCTATAATTTTGGTCAAACTTGAGATGCGTTCTCCAAGATTCTTGGAATGACTTATAATTTGGGATGGAGGGAGTAATACACAGTTCTTCCACCTTGTTCTGGAAACTGGAGAATGTCTGAGAAAAGGTTCTATGTTTTACAGATCTCCAACTTGTGCAAGTACCTTTCTCGTCAAAATGTTCAATTAGCTGTACAAAGTTCTGAACTACTGATAGAAAATAAATAAATAAATAATAATGGAATGACAGTCGAGCACACAACAGACATATCTATAAGTAGGCATCTTTTTTCTTTAACAAAATAATCAGTTCCTAATGTTAACATACATTCAGTAAATCAGGGCCAGAAAGAGAAACACCAGCTGTTCTACTTATATACACTTATCTATATTCAGATTTGAAGCCTTCTGTTAGAGCAACAACCTTTGAATTTAGCTTAGGTTGTAGCCTGGAAACAGCCTGACGAATATCCTACAAAATCATCATTTGGGTCAGATTTGTGGTGCCATTGACAATAATTTGGGTCAGATTAGTAGCCATTGACAATGATTTGGGTCAGATTAGTGGCCATTGACAATGATTTCATGGGTTGGCTACATACCTCAAGACTATATCGATTTGAGAAATGAGTGAGTACGATTGTTTCGTTCCTGAACCACTGGGAATGCTCCATTATCTATACACGACATAGTGGGTGTAGGTTAGCAACTGGAGCAGTAATCATTTCTTATATTCATCAGGAGTTCCAAAAGGCTCATCAGCAGGTGTAGGGAGTATCAGCACGGAAATTGTCACCTCAGAAAGATGCATGTGGCCATGTTCCCTAGCGTGCTCAACATCAACATGGTCATCTAGGAACGTTGCCTGCAGAGTGTAGACTTATGTTGGTACTAAATAATAAAAGCGGCGAAGAACCTCAAATTGCTCTTCATGTTTCATATTTGAAGTACATCTGATGAATAAGCTAGTGAAATTATTGTTTCATTTACAGTATGTAAGAACAGATACTGGATGTGTAAAGACAATACCTCAGTTATGAGAACCTTTGCTCTCAGGGCATCTGCATTTCTTGGGTCAAGAATAAAATCAGACTTTGTATCTCCTGTGAAGGCAACTTCTGGGTACAGTATGGTATCCGTAATCTAATATTAAAATGTGTGGTGAATACCATGTGGGAGATATTCCTGAGAAATAGGGGCCAGTTCAAAAGTACGGCACAGCTTACCTCGGTTCCTGATTGCTTCAGTTTCATTATTTGACTACCCTTCAAATGAGCATACTGTTTTTTCAACTTTCTTCGGATAGAGTAGATGACATAACCCTTTACACCATTCACAAGATGGATAATGTCATTAAGCATTAAATTGTGACCAATAACAAAAATACATGTCTGCTAGCTCTAAGGAGCAGAACCTGGCTGGGTATAGCGTGGTATGTCTGAAATGGCCTGGCAACAAGATCATTACGTATTTCATATGTCTCTCCTGAAAGAAGTTGTTGCATTATAAGGAACAAGCAAGCAGAAAACATTCAAGGCAGCAGTGAAGCAATATCCATACCCAAATCAAGTGCAACTAATTCAACTTTCAGCTCAATTTGACTCATCCTACGATGGACTTGAAGCAGATCCTCAACATCATCCCTGATGCAGGGTGGTACAAATACAGTAGGAGGCTTCAAGTTGTAGAGGCCACGGGTTGCTATGTACATTGGAAGACCACCCTGCATGATCACCATAGCAGAAATTGATGTGGTAAGCATCAGTGGGCCATTGATAGTTTGTAAGAGCTGGACTTAGCAATGGCACATGTAAATCTTAGTTAGAGGTGTACAAATAGGCAAACCAAGTAAGAACAGAATTAGAGCCTGCAAATATGAAAACAGGGCCCGTGGCGCTCACGATGTGGTCGAGGTGGGCGTGGGTAATGAAGAGATAGTCCTGGCTGACGGCGAACTGCGGCCCGCGGCCGATGTCGAACGCGACGTTCAGCGACGGCACGGTGACGCAGGTCTCGTGCCCGCCCACCGAGATCCCCTCGATTGCGTACCCTTCCACCTCCACGCCCTTGCGCTGCACCTGGGCGCGCGCGCGACGGTACTCCTCCTCGTCTGCCAGCGCGCGGTCCAGCACCGACAGAAGCCCGCCCCCCTTGCCTCCGCCTCTGCGGCTGCCGCTGGTGGCGGTGGAGGAGGAGGACTCCACTGGCTTCCTAGCGGCGAGGATCCGGAACCGGGAGCCCCGGGCGGAGGTGCGGGAGAGGACACGGAGCGACGGGAGGGAGAAGAGAGAGGCGGTCGCCATTTCCGGGGCTGTGAATTGGGGAGGCGGGATGAACGGTGGCGAGTCGCCGACGGCGAGCGGCGGCGCCGCGGGGGTTCTGGGGTTTGGACTTTTGGTGAGCTCCAGAGCTCATTCTGGAGGATAACGAGATGTATTCGCATCGCAGCCCCTCTATTGTTGCAATATCTGCTAGCCTCGCTGCAGCTGAGCGCAGAGGCAATATCCGGTGAATTATTAGTGGAGAAAAATGCCAACAATCAAGCAACAAAGTGGCAATCAAGTACAGATAAAAGTAGAGCTCGTTTTTTAAAAAAAAACACGGAGAGGCAACTCGAGCATCTCCGAGAGATCTCAATATCTTTTCTAAATGCTACGGAGAGAGAATTTTATGAAAAAATTACCCTCTAACAGAAATGTACATTTAAATATAGCCATTTTCTATTTGGGATTTTTCGCTAGCCAAAAATAAAAAAACAAGAATGACTCAGTGTGCATGAGATATAGAAAAACTGTTGGAGAGTGAAAAGATATAAAAAAATAAATTTTATGCAAATGGCTCTCCAAATGATGATTTAAAGAGCGAAATTTAGAAAGGTTCTTGGAGATGCTCTAAGCTGCCTGATGCTATATGTATATGACTGATCATATGATACCCTCTTCGTTTTAAATTGTAAACTATTTTAGTTTTATCATAAATCAAAATTTGTTTAATTTTATTCAATCCTGTAGAAAAATATATTACCCTCTGTAATATCAAATAAATACATTATCTAATAAATCTTGTTTGATGTTGTAGATGTTTATAGTAATTTTTTATAAATTTGATCAAATTAGACAAGTTTATTAGGATAAAGATAAAATGATATGCAATATAAAATGGAGAAACTAGAAGTGAAATCCAATTAAAATTACAAATCTAAATTATTATATACAGCCTTCTTGATTGCTATTTATCTTGGAAGGATAGTACGTGCATTACAGCTATGTACGTCACCTTTTATGTTCAAACTTTATTCTTTCTAAAGGTGCTGGCAGGAATTCTACATGTCTTATCTATATCTCTTATAAAGCTAAATTTCATTATAAATTTATCTCAATATGCAAGACATCCACATTATTTCCCGCTACCTATCCACATCACCTCCACTAATAGCCATGTCATTCACTAATTTTCAATCTCTTAATGCAAGCTGTTGGCACCATCTCCACTAAGAGCAGTATAATTTTAATATATAAGAAATGTACAGGGCATTCATATATTGCTATTTGTTTTGCCATTCTATCGTCTTATAATTCGATCTAGTTCTGTTAGTTTTTTATTGGATTCTTTCATTGTTCACAACATTTCCACTAAGCACAATATAATTTCAATATATAAGAATTATAGAGGGCATTCATATATTGTTATTTGTTTTGCCATCCTGTAAAAATATATAGATTTAATTTATACTTGCAACAATTTTATTTCTAAGAAAGTTCCGCAGCAACGCGCGGAGTATCTGAAGCAAAATAAGTCTGATCATGAGGCTGAAAACAAGAAAAAAAAGAAAAAAAAGTGATCTCTGGAAAAGCTGAAAGATATATGTAGATACATGGTAAAAATTTATGTACTTAAAAAACTAGAACAGCTTATAATTTGGGATACAGGAAATAATAGTACCCAACAATTCCACTTAGAGGCTACTGAATGGCTCCTATCTGTTGATTTAATACATCATATATCCATACATATATACAGTGCACAGTTATTTACACATTTTTAAAAACAATACACTACGACGAATAGCGTTACTATTTACAGGAATTTTACACTACTTATCACTGGCTGCCAAGTTTTGGCAGATCCAACCAGCAAACTAACTTCATGTGACAAATCTTCGTTGGTCTTAGACTCTTGGACAGGAGACAGAACCTCTGGCTCAGTGAAGGCAACATTGCAGCTAACAATCATTCTTGAGTAAGAAGTGAGGACATATGCATCTATGACGGAGAACCCCTTGATGATGGGCAACTGGAAGCCTTGCTCGAGATATGAGTTCACATAAGGTACAAACAATTTTTTCAGCAAAATCCTCAGCACAGTCTGCAAGCATAACAACATTCATATACTATTAGACAGGCGACATATGAAGTTTAATACAAGATATCAAAGCAATCCTGAAATTTAAGTGCAACGACAATGCTCCATGCTGCCAAAACTACAGTGCGTAGCATTACTTAGAAAGATTGCAGCCTATGATGGCATCCTAAACCTCTATAACAGTATTTATTGGATTACAAAAAGTTATGGTGTTTCAATTAGTTAGTGATCTCCAATATCGATTGGACTGCCAAAAATAATTGTATCTGCAATTTCATATACCTACCCACTTGCCCGAGTAAGTGATCTCAAAGCTTGAATTGTGCTTAAGGGGTGTGCTGCATGCAATTTAAGGCCCTGCCCCTAGGATACAAAATAGGAAAAAGACAAAAAATAAAAAATATAGTCAAGCAGAACCACCTGCACTAGACTGGTGTGGAGTTTTCCAACTTTGCTCCACTTCAAGGTAAATGAGAAATAATCCAATTCCACTCTCCCAACAAGATTATTCTCTGATACTGCTGCAGCTCCAGAAACAGCAACCGACTACAGAAGCAAAGGCCATTTTCAGTAACTACAACAGTACATGTTGGAAAACTGGACAGTGCATGCATTTTCAAGAAGATACAAAAAGTAGAAGGAAAAAATCTACATAACCCCCTAACTATTCAGGGTGGACTACTTCACCCTAAAACTATAAAACCGGATTTTCTACCCCTGAACTTTCCAAAACCGGTTAAATAACAACAAGCGGTTTTGGACGGTGGTTTTGTTATAGTGACGGTGGTTTTGCCTTTTTCTTTTTTATTTATTTCCACTGAATCTTTGAAAAATCATAGTAAAACACAAAAAAATCATAAAATGAAAAATCCAATTTTGTTGGACTCTGCATTATTAGATCTACACAGTGAACATATAATATGATATGCTTTAGTACAAAGTTTTTGTTGTAGCTTTAGATTTATGTTTTTTTGTAATTAATTGGAATAATTCATAGCTGCAGCTTCTATGGTCCAATTGTGGTGAAATTTTTATGTTGGTACTAAGTTATACATGATCCAATGAGTATGAAATTTTTACTACAGTTCAAGCATACAATAATTAGCCCACCATAAAAATTTCACCACAATTGGACCATAGAAGGTGCAGCTATGAATTATTCCATTTAATTACAGAAAAGCATAGACCTAAAGATACATCAAAAACTTTGTACTAAAGAATACCATATTATATGTTCACTTTGTAGATCTACTCATGTGGAGTCCAACAAAATTGGATTTTTCATTTTATGATTTTTTCTACGATTTACTATATTTTTTCAAAGATTTAGCGGAAATAAATAAAAAATAAAAAGACAAAACTACCGCCATTGTAGTAAAACCACCGTCCAACACCGCTTGGGGGGGGGGTGTTATTTGACCGGTTTTGGAAAGTTCAGGGGACAGAAAATCCGGTTTTATAGTTTGGGGGTGAAGTAGTCTACCCTGAATAGTTCGGGGGGTTATGTAGACTTTTTCCAAAAGTAGAATATAATAAGACCTCCTTATAAAATTAATCAACAATATGTCAGCATAATCACACAAAACAGTTTAATTGGGAAAACATAAACATGTATAAAAAATTTAGTTTCATTGAAAATTCTCATTGAGTGAAAAGCCTGAGATGCTTGAGCCTAGCACAAAACAATATTACTGTCAGATTGCGGACTCCAGAAGCTGCAACATAATGCCACTCCAAATGGATTATTTTGTTGCTTGAGTGCCTTAACTAAGTTGTTAAAGCAAAGATGGATAGAATCTCACCACTGATATGCATGCAACTGGAACTATCTCACCAAAATCCAAGACATTAACTGTGACATCTAAGTCAACTGTGGCATCAATTCTACCCACATTAATCCTCACAAAGGGAGGCGAAACTGCAGAGATATTCAGTAGCATATCATCGTCAGGATACTCTCGATACAATCGAGGAACCAAAAATCTCCAGCTAGCAGTGTTCAAAAGAAACTGTTCAGTAACCTTGTCCACCATCCGTTGCAGCAAACCAGCCTGAATGATCAAAAGTGTAGTATCAATCAGAATATAACAATTACAGTTCAAAAAAGAAAAAAGGGTAACGGTCGAAGTCCACAGCTCCACTGTTAGAGGAGTCAAGGGCCTATTGGGCCTTAGCCCATTAGAGTTAATTAGTCACTTGCTTAGGGGCCAAGTCAGACCTCTCTATATAATGACTTGGCCCCTAAGCAAGCGACTAATTAACTCTAATGGGCTAAGGCCCAATAGGCCCTTGACTCCTCTAACATCCACATTGACAGTTAAGAAAATATTGTGCTTGTGACAAAAGAAAAGGAGCGTTTACTTTACTTGTACCTATCAAGAAAAATGACAGGTTCATTTATGAATTATATCTTTTTGAGCGGAAAATACAGCAGGGGAGGCCCCCACTGTAAACTTTTTATTTAAACAAAAGAAGCAGCAACTCTATACAAGAGATAACAAAAAAGGGAAGCAAGCCCGTCATTTATGAATTATATCAAATGAATTGGAACATACCTTGAAGTAGAGAGCTGAAACAGAGTTGAAAACATCTTCATCCAATGAAATCCAAAGCATTCTTGAGGAGCTCCCAAGAGGTAATGCAAATTGGGTATCTCCAAGAAGCATGTCTCTGGGAGCAGTTTCATCCGATGGAATAAATAAGCCATCTATATCAAACTCAACAGAGGAGCTCTTGAATAGTGGATGATTAACAAAAGTCACATTCATCGCAGCAACGCTATCAAGATCAATTTTCTTTGGAAGGTTTCCCAGGAAAGAGTCAAGCTTCAGTGCACCTTCCATTACTTTGTTCTTAATTGCATTTTCCACCGCTGATCTGATATGATTACTGAAACTATCTATAAACCTACAAACAGTAAGCAGAAGCAACATCTCACACATGTCCTCATCAGATTCAAGTAAGATGCGCACTAAAGTTCATATAAAAATAAATCAGGTTGGTTCATTTCAGGAACAGATGGAAGTACTCAAGAGGATTCTACCAGAATTTTCTATTTACTGTAACAACAAATGAAAGTAAAATGAGGTTGAGATGCAAAGATATGTGCATGATTTCCACTTCTTGCTGACAAAGGAAAAATCCGATTTACTGAGGTTGAGATGCAAAGATATGTGCATGATTTCCACTTCTTGCTGACAAAGGAAAAATCCGATTTACTGAGTGCACCCTCAAAGGAATTAACAACATCGTGCATATACAACAAATCGAGAACCACATACACTTGATAGAACCAAGATGCTCCTCCATTTAGTGTTATGTCTAAGTCCTCCATATAACAGCTACATTCTGTAACAGACAGCTTGATAGATCCATTCTGATTCTTCATGACCATGGAAACACCAACCTCCATTCCTTCAACCTTAGCAAAAAGTATCTATGAATACACCTTGTACTTTCATATCATATACATACAGGTGAAAAGTGTCTAGTATGTAGAATACAGTTGAAGTTACAGGATGTATAAGAACAGCTGGGCAAGGTGCTAAGAATAGTAACGACATAAACTCTGAATCCAGTTAACTTAGCTGCTTGTACTTGGTTCAACATTACGGTTTCGAAAAGTACTAAGTGACATCTTTTGCATTGCTGAACAACCAGCTTGTTACTGAAAAACTTTCACTATCTAGGTGCCTTCTATAATTCAGTTTTTATATACTCATAAAACTATCACTGGGCTGAAATGTTTGTCAAATTTTATCTTACAGGACAGATTACAGACTGTCACCTTGAACTGAAGCTAAGTATAACATTATGCTGCTAACTATAATTTGCAATGTCTCATTTCATGAGAATGTGCTCATAGCAAGATGGTAGACCTCCAAGTGGAGGCCCTGGTTCTCACAAAAAAGGCTATTGCTGTCTTTTCCCCATGGCTGTGGCATGGTGGGTAGTAGTGGGCTCTCAGGTCAGGGCTTTCACTCCACCTTAAGTGCAACATCTTCTGGATGCGTGTTGAGTGTTTTTTTATACTATCTCATATTTCATAGAAACATACTCCCTTCATCCCAAAATAAGTGCACATCTCGCTTCTCGAAGAGTCAAACATTTTTAAATTTGGCTAAGTATATATAAAAAAGTAATCATATTTATGATGTGCAACAAGTATCATTAGATTGACATTAGAACATACTTTCATAATAAATTTATTTAGAGATACAAGCATTGATATTACCACCTGTGACCGGAAGGTCTCGGGTTCGAGTCGCGGTCTCCTCGCATTGCACAGGCGAGGGTAAGGCTTGCCACTAACACCCTTCCCCAGACCCCGCACAGAGCGGGAGCTCTCTGCACTGGGTACGCCCTTTTTATACAAACATTGATATTATTCTCTATGTGCTTGGTCAAATTTAAAAGGGTTTGACTCCCTGGAGAGCGAGATGTGCACATGGAGGGAGTAATAGACACTAAAGAAGGCGCATAGGTAACCACTCTGTTTTGTCTTTATTACTTATAAGGTACTCGTCTACCATCTGGAGAGCTGAAGCTTGAAAGTACCTTCAGCACCACTCAATTTGGCAGCATCATGGATTCTAGAGGGTTTATATGAATCCATTTTAAACATAGTAATAAGTGCCAATTAGTACTCACTTCTCAGATGATTGATTCTACTTCTGACAGAAAATAGATACTCCAAAATTCAAGTGTTGCACGATCAGTCTCTACTTAATAACAAAACGATGCGTATATCTCCTACTCAGTATATTAAAAAAATGGCCAGTATCATATGATTCAATTAACAGCTACCAATCAGCAAGCCATGTCCTGGGGAACATAACTGATAGAATATCAGCCAAACAGGAGTCCCGTTTATACCTGGATCGAAGCATTCCCTCTGTCGGATATGGTCACAATCCAGGCGCTGTACGAGTAGTTCCACTCCATGGTGAGGTTCGCGCTGGCCAACGAGGCGGCCACGACAACACCCGTGTCCCCCACAGCGACGGTGGAGTTGGTGACGGCGAGGCCGTTGAGCACAATCCCGGATGCGGCCATGCGGACGGTGCCCACGAGGGGGATGCTCATGGTCCTCTCGATGTCCGGCACGTTCAGGGGCGTGAGGGTCGCGACGGCACGGGACAAGAGCAGGTCCTTGGCGAAGTCGAGGCCCGACTGCGAGATGACGACGGAGATGTGTGATGACGACGCGACCGCGGGGGAGGAGGCGGTGAACAGCTGGAGGGTGACGAGAAGGGGGAGGAGGAGAGGGATCCCCATGGCGGTGAGGAGGTTAGCCACTACCTTAGGACCCTAGGTTTGGGGAGATGGTGGCTGAAGTGGGGGTGGCGTAAGGGGGACGAAGACAAGCGCTGCGGCGGTATGGAGGTGTCGAGCTCGCGGCGGCGGTGTCGAACTCACGGCGGCTTTGAACGGTCGTCTTCCCCTGGTTTGGTGAGAGACGTGGAGCGGGTTTGGTTTCGACATTGCTGACGTGGCCGCTGGCTAGGCCGCAGCCCGCAGCGGCATGTCTTTCGAGTCCTAAATGCTAGTCACCTACTCACCGACACGTGGTCCCATTTCATAACTGGTGCATGCGCGGTGAGTTGTGAATTGGGCGAAATACTCGCTTTGGTCCTTCAATTATTGCATGTGATTCTATTTCATCTCTGAATTTTAAAATAGTCATTTTAGTTCTAAAACTTTATTTCTAGGATAAAATTTATTCTATGACTGTAAAGTGATAGTTAAGTCCTCAAACTTTGCATTATGGACTCAATTTTATCCATACACTTATATATTTTTTTAGATTATAAGGCCCTCCACAGTGTGTTGCTAAAGTGCTGTCGGGAAGGAGAAAGAAAAAGTAAGCATAGCTTCTACCACTGTGGGGGTGCTACCAACTCTTGAGTGACGCCAGGAAAAAAGCTAGAGCGGTGAAAGTACTTGCGCCGGTTCCAACTTCTTTAAATATTATAAAGTTATTGTACAAGTAGTTAGCAGTTGAGCCTTCGAGAGGGAAGACGATGAATATTTTATTGAAGTTGTGGGTTCCATGTACGAAGTGGCACCGGTTCTATCTTTTTTACACACTACAGCTCTCCTTGCCTGATGCTTCATTTGCTGTAGCTAGACCCACATTTTTCCTGGCCTCACTACCACATTGTGGACGGCCTAAGGGGCCAAGCCCCTACATGCGGTGATTTTATTAATAAACATTAGAGTTTACAAGAAAGTTCAAGATAAAAAAAGAAACCAAAAAAAATACTTTGTAAAGTATGAACTGAAGCCAATTTTGAATCCGTAAGGAAAAGGGTTGACATGATCTTTCCTTTACTCTAAGACTAGTCAAAGCCATTTCTTTGTTGATGGTGTTATTGTAGGCCTGAATATTTGGGCTGACAACATTAAATATCAGTCATTTCTAGCCTCCGAAATTGTCCAGCACAGAAGGATGGTGGCATTTAAGAAATTTTTTGAGTTCATCATGTCCTTGCAATTATGACTTCAGGAAAGGATGAGTTCATTGGGTAGTCCAACTCTAAGATGTTCCAGCAGGACCTTGCAAAGGGACGTTCCAAGAATAAGTGATTTAGAGTTTCTTTAGTGTTCAGTTGGCAGAGCTCACAATTGTATGACTGAAGCTGCATGTTTTTCTTTTTCCGTAGGTTTCTTGTGCTCAACATGTGTGTAAGGAGTAACCGGAAAAAAAAAAACTTGTGCTTTGTTGGCAAGGGGTCTTTCATATCCATTTAAATGCAATATGTACTTGATGATGACCTATCAACCTCCTGTAAACCTTGGTTGTCGCAAAATCATTGGAGTCCCAGTTATACCCCTAGATGTCGTTACTATCAGAAAGAGTCAAGCTGTCGTTCCTGAAATTGGGAAAAGGCCGGGACTGACAGAGGCAAATGGAAGAATTGAGTCAATTTCCCTTTAAATTTTTGCCATGCTAATTGTGAGTTGTCTGTCCTTTGCAAAGGAGAAAAGCTCAGGGAACTTCTCCTTGACTGGCATATCTAGCCATGTGTCTTTCCAAAGTAAACAAGATTGGCCATTGTTGATTTGAATTACTGCAAGGCTCTTAATTTTTTTTAAAGCTTCAAATTTGCCCTCCACCAGAATCCACCTTTCTTTTGGAAGTTTGACAACTTTCCATTTGGACAGAGTTTCTCCCAAATTAGGCTACAAGGAATATCGAAGTCATTAAAGAACTTATGCAAGTTTTTCATCATTAGTGCTTCATTATGCTTTCTAAGATCTAGCACTCCCAGGCCACCTTCAGTTTTTGGGTAGACCGACCATTTCCCAAGCAGCTTTTGGTGATTTTCTAGCATTTATTTTAGACCCCTCCAAAGACAATTCTTTCTATGTTTGTCTATTTGCTTGATCACAGTGGGAGGCAGCGCGAGAGAACATAGATAGAAAGTTGGTACGAGGAGAACACTGAATTAACCAATTCAGGTCTACCTGCTTGTGAGAGGAAGCTTAATACACTTGCTAACCTTCCTTTACATCTGTTTAGTAGAGGCAAAAAGTCATCCACCTTGGGTTTTGTGATGCTAAGAGGGAGTCCTAAGTAGGTGAAGAGAAGAGATCTTGTCTGTTAGAGCCCAGTTTTTCCTCAATGAGGTTGATTGGCACAATCATGGATCTGTTGAAGTTAAATTTTAACCCAATTAAGGCAGACGTGTTGAGCAAAGATCTGGGGAATAACAGTTGTCTGGCATCATCTTCAAGGATGATCTGAGTATCATCTGCATACTATAGTATTGGGAAGCCATTGTTGTGACTAAGAGGTGTTGGCAGTTTCAGGAGCCCATGTATTTTGATTTGTTAACCATGGATTGTATCAGATTGGCTGCTATGACAAAAAGTAAGGATGATCATCCTACCTGACCCCTAACCTTGGGCGCTCGGTCTGACCGAACCGAACCGATCGGTTCTTCGGTCTTTTGAAAAGTTCGGTCATCTAAAAACGGAGACCGATCGGTTAGTTTCAGGGCTCAGGACTGAGCAAGTTCGGTCTCGGTTAGTTCGGCTCGGTCTCGGTCCTGACCGAACTAACCGGACTAGACAAAACAACTACTAAATATTATAATTTGTAGCAAATTTTAGCAATATCTTTTTCTATTTAAGGCAAAAATAACAATACAAAATATAGATTAAACTAGGTGATAAGAGTCATGGTTGATATAAACCCACTAGAATAAATATTATATCACTAATAATAGTCTAAAGTAATATTATGTCAACAAAATCCAAATATTCGGTTAGTTCGGTTACCCGAGCTATCTAACCAAACTAACCGTAAAAAGTTCGGGTTGTATACACTCTGAAAGTACAATCAAGCCCTAATTGTGGATTTTGATGATAATGATCACGTAATTAGAGAACTAATGAGATTTATCGATATGACAAGCAGGAAATTCATGTTCAAGGATGCTACATGAAACGGAGGAAACCCCAATTACAAATGTAGATGGCTTCAAACTCAAAGGAGGTTTAAATTCTTTTATATTTTAAATTTGAGTATAGGAAAAGCCGTACTAGAAAGGGGGCACAATGCTTAAGCTAATATATGCTACCAAGTGCTCAAACATACACATGCATCCTCAGATTTACAGTCAAGATAGTCTACACTTCACTTTTACCCTTGTTGTCTTGCGTGGTGTGGCACTGCCGCACTTGAAGAGAGGCACTGCCGCACTTAAGTGACTGTTGGGGCTGAGGGGGTATTTATACCCATCCTCTTTCTCCCCAGCGTCTCTCTTCCTCCTCCTACTGATTCTAGTACGCCCAGACAGAAAAGGAGCTCTCTCTCTCCCTCCATTGTTGACCTCAAGCCCCCAAGCAAATTCATTGATTTTTTCATCAATCCTTGAGGAAAAAAGGTCCAAAACTCGATTAGAGAGCAGCTCCATTGATTCCCCAACTCAAAAGAGCACTTCATTCACGTTTTGGTCGGCGGTTGTGTTTCTTACTCTTGGAGCTTGGCTCCGAGCCGGCTAGAGCGTTGTCCATGGAGCTTATCAACTTGTGTGGCAATCCCGAAAGGTTTATAACCATCTCTTGAAGCTAGTATACCCACCCCTTATCTCAAGAGTTAAATCTCTTGACTTGAGAACGAGAAAGGGTTGGAAAGTCCTAAACCTTAGTGGCTAAACTTAACAACGTGGAGGTAAGCAAGCCTTGGTGGCGAGCCGAACCACAGGAAAATCATTGCGTCACTTGTGTTTGATTTATATTACTTGCATTTCATATTGTTGGTTGAGGTGATTTCTATGGTTTCTAGTCGATCTACTTGTGTGTGGTGTTTCTACTCATTCTAGTTCTTGATCTGTGACTATAATACCTACAGTAACCTAATTTTTTTTCTCTGATCTAAGTTTTCGTTCACTGATTTTGAAAGGTCCTAATGGCTAGAGGGGGGGGTGAATAGCCTAATAAAATTTCTACAACAACACTTAACAAAAGGATTAGACAATTATGAGACGCGAAGCGAGTTTTGCACTAGCCTACCAAAATACAAGCCACCTACCACAATTTTAGTTTAGATGAAGTATATCCACACAATAGCTATATCACTACACTAAGTTAGTGTGCTCTCAAATGCTAACTAAAGAGTCACACTAACTAAACTAACAAGCTCTCACAACTAGTTACACTAAAGAGTTTGACAACTAGTTTGCAGTAATATAAAGAGTAGGCAAGAAGGTTATACCGCCGTGTAGATGTATGAACCAATCAATCACGAGTGTGGATAACAATGAAGACCAATCACCTCGGAATCAATGATGAACACAATATTTTTTTATCGAGGTTCAATTACTTGCCGACAAGCTAGTCCTCGTTGTGGTGATTCACTCACTTGGAGGTTCACGCGCTTGGCTTCACACGCCAAACCTTCAATAGGGTGCCACACAACCAACACAAGATGAGGATCACACAAGCCACGAGCAATCCACTAGAGTACCTTTTGATGCTCCACCGGGGAAAGGTCAAGAACCCCTCACAATCACCACGATCGGAGCCGGAGACAACCACCACCCTCCGCTTGACAATCCTCGCTGCTCCAAGCCGTCTAGGTGGCAGCAGCCACCAAAAGTAACAAGCGAATTCTGCAGCGAAACACGAACACCAAGTGCCTCTAGATGCAAACACTTAAGCAATGCACTTGGATTCTTTTCCAATCTCACAAAGATGTTTAATCTATGATGGAAATGAGTGGGAGGGCTTTGGCTAAGCTCACAAGGTTGCTATGTCAATGCAAATGG